CCTGCTTTTCCTCCCAGTATGGTTGAAATATAATTTACATAGATTAGAACTACTTTTGTTTATTTACTTTTTTAAAATATATATTTTTATTGATTTCCGAGAGGGAGAGATGGAGCCCACAACCTGGGCATGTGCCCTTGACCAGAATTGAACCTAGGATCATTCAGTCCGTAGGCACTGAGCCAAACCGGCTAGGGCTAGACCTACTTTTAATAAACTTTTTTACTTGAAGATTTTATATTTATACAAAAGTCAAAAGGTACTACTACAAAGAGTTCACATATACCTTCATTCAAATTCCTGCTATCTGAACATTTTATATAACCATGGTATATTTATGAAATTGAGAAATTAACATTGGTATAATACGCAACCAAACTCTAGATCCTACTCAGATTTGACAAGTTTTTCTTCTGCCATTTTTTTCTTGTCCCAAGATTCAACCCCAAATACAATAGTTTTCAGACATCATGTTTCCTACATTTTCTCTGTTCTGTGACCATTTCTTGGTATTTTTCTTTTTTTATGTCCTCAATTTTTTTGAGGAGTACTAATCAGGTATTTTGTATACTAACCAATTTTTAAGTTGGAATGAAAGAATTGCAAAAGTTAATTACATCATGAAACAGGCATAGAACACTTTGATGTTGCGTATATTAAAATTTGATCCATAAAGAGAGTAACTGCCACTATTTAAAGCTTAACTCAATGGCAAGGCAACTAGAAATATGGTGAAGGTATCCTGTCCCCAACTGCCTGTGAGGTGTACTATCTGCTAAGACTTGTGACACAATGCTTTTTCATTCCAGCCTTCTTTCCTTCATTACATTACCCAAGCTTTTGCTAAAGACCACTAAATTGAAAGTGTTCATGTGATATTTCAGCAAGGATTTGCTGGCAAATGATGAGGTAACAGAAATTACTGTAAATGGTGCCATATGCATTGCAAGACAAAACTGTTTTCTAGTGTGAACTGACATCTACTGAAGTTTTACTTTTGGACAGATGCTTTCCCATAATTAGACATATTTATTAATTCATAATCTCTGATGATTACATATGGGTTTACTTACCACAAAAGGATTTCCCAATGTTACATTCATGGGATTTGTCTCAATAAACACTCTTTAGATATATAATGTCCTAAAATATTTTCACCAAGGCTGATACGGTTTACTTACCACATAAGGATTTCCCAATTTGTTACATTCATGGGATTTGTCTCAATAAATACTCTTTAGCTATATAATGTCCTAAAATATTTTCACCAAGGCTGATTGTATCTGAGTTATTTTGTAATTTCTTATCAAGAGATAATGACATAATTGATCAGTAAACACAGTACCAGGTTCATTGCATTAAGTCATTTTCATTGCATACTATCTTCTTGAGGGCCTAGAACTCAAAAAGGGATTTCCCCAAAGCAGCTATCTGTAAATTCTCTTGTTTAACAAGGATTGACAAGTGGGCAAAATCTTTCCCATAATTGCTGCACCCATTCGACTTCTCTCCTCATTGAGTCCTGAATTTGTCACGAAGGCTTCCCTACATTCATGACATTCACAGGGTTTCTCTTCATGGTGAAGCCTTTTCCACATACACTACAAAGGGTTTCTCTCCTGTATGTTTTCGCTGATGTCTGATTAGATTAAACTTCTCTGTGAAGCCCTTCCCACATTCACTACATATATAAGGTTTCTCTCCTGTATGAATCCGTTGGTGTGCAATCAGCTTGCTTTTTGCTGGGAAGCCTTTTCCACAGACACTGCACAAGTAGGGTTTCTCTCCCGTGTGAATTCCCTGATGTACAATCAGACGGCTCTTCACGGCAAAGCCTTTCCCACATTCACTGCACATATACGGTTTCTCTGAAGTGTGACTTAGCTGATGTACAGTGAGATTAGTCTTCATGGTAAAGCCCTTTCCACATTCACTACAAACATATGGTTTCTCTGTGGTATGTGTCCGCAGGTGTCTGATGAGATGACTGTGCGCTTTGAAACCTTTTCCACATTCACTGCATACGTAAGGTCTCTCTCCCGTATGAGTTCGTTGATGTAAGATGAGCTGCATCTTTCCTGGAAAGCCTTTTCCACATTCACTGCATACATAGGGTTTCTCTCCTGTGTGAGTTCGCTGATGTACAATCAGATAACTCTTCCCAGTGAAGCCTTTCCCACATTGATTGCAAATAAACGGTTTCTCTAAAGTATGAGTTCGCTGATGGACAGTGAGATTACTCTTTATGGTGAAGCCTTTTCCACATACACTACACACATATTGCTTCTCCCCTGTATGTGTTCGCTGATGTTTGATGAGAAGACTCTTCCTGGTGAAGCCCTTTCCACACTCATTACATATGTAGGGTTTCTCTCCTGTATGAGTTCGCTGATGTGTGGTAACCCTGTATGAGTTTGCTGATGATAAATGAGCTGCCACTTTTTTAGGAACACTTTCCCACATTCACTACAGGTATATGGTTTCTCCCCCAGGTGAGTTTTCTGATGTATACTGAACTGTGATTTATTGAGGAAGGTTTTGTCACATTCAGTGCATTTATATTGTTTCAGTCTTGTATGAATTTTCTGATGTTTAGTGAGCTTGGATTTTCTGGCAAAGGCCTTCCCACACAGACTGCACCCATAAGGTTTCTCCCTAGTATGAACTCTCTGGTGATCAGTGAGCTGAGACCTCTTCATGAAGGCGTTCCCACACTCAGTGCACACATGGGGTTTCTCTATGTGGTGACGTCTCTGTTGCTTAGTAACAGGTGAATCATTAGTGCTGTTTTTCATACTGACAGGAAATTTCATTTCAGTTTGTTCATTGTTAGCATGTAGAATGCATGTCCCATTGCCATTCAACTCAACAGAGTTAGTTAAGTGACAGCTTCTGTTTTGGTTGTCAAAATGTAAATTGGATTTTAAAGGTTTTTCACGAATGTCAAACATACCATGATTTTGCTTTAATAGGAAATGACCTTCACTCTGATGAAAAATATTTGCAAACATATTATATTCACGGCATACTTCTAGATTCTTCTGAAGGCTTCGACTTTGCAAGTGACAATTCTGAGGATCAGCGACTTTCTTGAATTCTGGGAAAGAAGAGAACAGTAAATCATTCTGTAATCTCTCATAATCTTTGTTTGAAATAAAGCTGTTCTTGCCTGGCCGGTGTGAATCAGTGGTTGAGCATTGACCTATGAACTAGGAGGTCATGGTTTGTTTCTGGTCAGGTCACATGCCCTGGTTGCAGGCTTGATCCCCAGGGGGGGCACCCAGCAGGCAGCCAATCAATGATTCTCTCTCATCATTGATGTTTTTTTATCTATCTCTCCCTCTCCCTTCCTTTCAGAAATCAATAAAAGAATTTTTTTAAAGAAGAAATAAAACTGTTCTTACAAAATGTCTTCATGCCCTGACCGGTTTGGCTCAATGGATAGAGCAATGACCTGCAGACTCAAGGGTCCCGGGTTTGATTCCGGTCAAGGGCATGTACCTTGGTTGCGGGCACATCCCCAGTGGGGGGTGTGCAAGAGGCAGCTGATAGGTGTTTCTCTCTCATCGATGTTTCTAACTCTCTATTCCTCTCCCTTCCTCTCTGTAAAAAATCAATAAAATATATATTAAAAAAAAACACAAAAAAACAAAATGTCTTCATGTGCAGTAACTATTTTAAAAATATATTTATTGATTTTTTTAAACATTTTGTTTTAAATCTTCTCCTGAGGATATATATTATTATTATTGATTTGAGAGAGAGAGGAAGGAGAGAAACATTGATATGAGAAACATCTATAAGTTGCCTCTCATACATGCCCTGACCAGGAATAGAACCTGCAACCAAGGCATGTGCCCTGACCAGGAATTGAACACACAACATTTTGGTGTAAGGACGACAGTCCAACCAAGTGAGCCTCCTGGCCAGGACTATTGATTTTTTTCTTTTAGAGAGGAAGGGAGAGAGGGCAAGAGCAAGAGCGAAAGTGAGGGGGAGAGGGGGAGAGGGAGAGGGAGGGAGAGAGATAGAGAGAGAGAGAGAGAGAGAGAGAGAGAGAGAGATCGGTTGCCTCCTGTACACACCCTGACCAGGGACTAAACCTGCAAATTAGGTATGTGCCCTGACCGAGAATAGAACCAGTGACCCTTGGGTGTAGGGGATGACACTCCAACCAACTGAGCCACAGCACCCATTGCTGAAGTAACTATTTAGTGTCAATTCTAAGTTTTGTAGAATAAGAGATATATTTTGTCTTCGTCCACAGTTCTTGACACTGAGTTTGTCAAACCTTTGTAATTTTTATAAAAATTTATTTTTTTAAAAAATTACTTATTTAAACACCAGTCCCTCCTCTTCTCGCCCACTTGAACCATCATGCTCGTGTAAAGGCCAGAAGTATGAAAAAGAATGGCAAGTACA